AGCCACCAGGGACACCCTGTGTGTGTGTGTGTGTGTGTGTGTTATTGGGCTTTAAAAACTCAAGAATGGGTTTTTGTTCAGTTTTGTTTTGGACCTAGGAAAAGGTAGAGGGACCTTTGTTCAGCCCCTTATTTGACCAGTGGGGAAACTGAGGTCCCTGCAGGGATGGGACCAGTCCAGGGTCGCACAGTGAGGCAGCAGAGTGGGTCTGGAAGTCTGTTTTTCTCCACTGCACCCCAGTCCACCCCGCTTCCTCCTTAAGGGGGCATTTCAGGGCCTGGGGACATTTGGTCAGTTCCCCTGCCTCGGAATACCATGAGCCTCCCAGGTCCGGGTCCCAGCGAGAGCTGTTCAGAGAGATAAGGCTCAGCACCCGTGCTTCCCAAGTGGGCAGGTGAGGGGCAGTGGGACGCATGTGGGGTCCTGGGAAGTCTGGGGCCAGCTCTCCATTCTCATCCGCTCTCAGGTGTTTCAGCGACGGGAGGACGGCTCCGTAAACTTTTTCCGAGGCTGGGAGGCATACCGCGACGGCTTCGGCAAGCTCACAGGGGAGCACTGGCTAGGTGAGACCCCCGCCCGATGCCTGGCCCACCCTCTCCCTGTGCAATGCACGCTGTCACACACGAGCCCCCTCCTTACGTGGATGCCAGCCAGGTCTCCATGACCTCCCCGTGACCAGGTCAGCTCCCAGGTTCTGCATGGAAAGGGGACCTGTGCATCCAGTGGAATATGCTCTAGGAGCAGGAAGCCCAGGGCGGTGCACTCGCCACGGGTGGGTCCCTCGAGGATGTGTGCTTGTCCTGCTGGGGGCGCCCTGGGACCTGGTTGCTGTCCCGGGTCAGGCAGCGGTGGCCGATGCAGGTGCTGGAAGACCAGGATGACCCTCACGCTCCCCTTGCCCTTGAGGGTTAGCACTCACCCCCCAGAGCAGCAGTGGTGCCCCTGCCACTCCTGGCATCTTAACTGAAATCTGTTGGCAGCCATTGAGTGCAGGAAAAGTGTCTAAGCAGAGCCTTGACCAGCTCCTGGCAGGCAGGGAGCCCAGTCCTCAACTGCCCTGTGATGTGCCCTGCCTCTGCTTTTCCACATTCCCCTGCCACCTTTTCATCGAGTGTTTTGTCTTTTCCTATTGAGTTATGAGAGCTCTTTATATATTAAGGTTATTGATTCTTTGTCAGATACCCCTGATACATAGTTACTCCCAGTCATTTGTCTTTCAGCATCTCTTTTTTGGTAACATTATTGCTTATTTCCTAGGAGTTTTAACTTTTTTTTATGTAGTTGATTGCGCTAGTCTTTTCCTTCATATCTTCTGAGTTTTAGGCCCTGTTTTTCTCTCCCAGTGTCATAAAAATGTCTATTTTTAAAATGCCTTTTCAGTGTTCAGTGGTAGGTTCAGCTCTTTAATCCACCTGGAAGTTCACTGGGGTGACAATGGGGGTCTGAGTATGTTTCCGCATCTTCCTCCTCATGCTCTGTGATCTGATGGATGGTGGGGATGGAACTCCAATCACCCCAGGGGCCCAGGGAAGTGGGGGTTGTGAGCATCCTGGTGGATCGACAAGGACTGGAGAAACCCAGAGGGTAAAGATGAGGGAGGTGGAGGCAGGAGGGAAGGGGGCCTTGAGGGGAGGAAGGGTAGAGAGGAGGGAGGCCCTGGCCCCTCCCTCAGGACACCTGCCCCGGGGCCCCCGTAGGCACTGGACTGGCTCATTAAAGAGTGGAACTCTGCTTATCCCGGCAGAGTGGGGTCCTAATGGGGGTCCACGGGGCCCACTCGGGGGTGGGGGAAGGAATCTTCCACCATCCCCACGGGGCTGGGCTCCCTCTTGCCCTACACCTGGATCAGATCATCTGTCCTGGGCAAGAACTAAATGAGCACACACAGTCTGGGCTAAGTCTGCCACTTAGCAGCTGTGTGACCTGAGCCAATGACTTCACCTCTTAGCACCTCATTCTCCTCACCTATAAAACACAGATAATACTAGCAGTCGTCTCACTGGATCACGACAGCAGTGGCAAACACCAGGATCATGTGTGCAGTGGGCCAGGTGCTGTTCTAAGAGCTGTACAGGGACCCTTTAATTAAATCGGACTCACTCGAATCCCCCTGGCTTCATTAATCCACGTGAAACGCTCATAGCAGCACCTGGCATTTGTAAGTGCTGTCTGCGGGGTGGGGGCTTCTGTCGGCGGTGCCTACAGCCTGCCCTTTGCAGCTTGGGAAGCCCTCTGGCCCTCACTCCACGGGTGTGCAGCCTGGGGCCCAGAGAGGGCCCCAGCTTGCTATGAGGCTCCAGCCCAAGGAGACAAGGCCCCTGGGCTCCGGCAGCTGGGTCCTCGGTGATGGATACCAGTGGATGCAAGGAGGTTCCGGCTGTCTGGACGGCTTTTGCTCTCGTCATGGTTCCTTTTCCTCTGCCCGGGACCTGGACCAGAGTCTTCCCTCTGGGCTGGTTGGGGAGGAGCCCACATAGCCCTCCCTCCCACCCTGGGGGTGTCCACACGCTGACCCACGCAGGAGAGGAAGGCAGGAGGGACAGGCTGAGGAAATGTCACTTGGTGCCAATAACTTGTAAGGCGTTTAATTAAAAGCCCTCTTAATCAAGAGATAATCAAACTGGCAGGGAAGCACCTTGAGTGTGAGTGGCGGAGAGGGAGGGTGGAAGGGGAAAGGGAGGGCCTGGCATGAGACCCCAGAGTGGGCGCAGGAGAGCGCAGGAGGGGAGGGACAGTGGTGGGGGGAAGGAAGTAGGACAGGGTATGCTGAGAGGTGTCCGGAGCCAGGCATGGTCTTCTGCCTCTAGTCCACTAGGCCAGTATTTATTGAGCACCTATTGTGTGCTGGCTCACCTCAGATGCTGGGGTTCCACAGTGAGCGGGACAGTCATGCTGATCACATGGAGCTTCCACATTGGTGGAGGGGGGAGCCCGACATGGAAATAGGCAGCTGGAATCAGAATGATAAACACCAACAGGGGGCACCTGGGTTGGCAGAGGTCCTCCACTTCGACAGGAGGGCAGGCAGTCTTCCTGAGGAAGTGAGATCTGAAAATGAACAGAAAGTAACCAGGTGAGGGGGCTTCCTTGGTGGCTCAGTGGTAAAGAATCCACCTGCCAATGCAGGAACTGTGGGTTCGATCCTTGGGTCGGGAAGATCCCCTGCAGAAGGAAATGGCAACCCGCCCCAGTATTCTTGCCTGGGAAACCCCATGGACAGAGGCGCCTAATGGGCTACAGTCCATGGGGTCGCAAGAGTTGGACACAACTGAGCGACTAAAGAACAACATCAAAGCAGGTGAGGAGAGTAGGGAAAAGTGTCTCAGGCAGAGGGAACAGCATGTGCAAAGACTGTCAGGCCAGGGAGTGCATGTGAGGACCAGATCCCATCTAACCGGAGCCCAGAGTGTCAGAGAAGATTAAGGCGCCATCACCCCCAACCCAGAAGATTTTCCAGACTCGACTCCTGCAGCCTTTTACCAGCTTTCAGCTTAAAACATTTGGAAAGCACAGCCTGATTTAAAGCAAATACAAAACACACAAAGCAGGAAAACCCGTGGGTCCCGTTTCCTGCCAAACACAGCTCTGCAGGAAGAAGGAAGTAGCTTGGGGCTGAAAGGACACCCTTAGCGGTCGCTGTTCCTTTCTGTCACCAACCGCATCAGCTTAGCTCTCATGTCCCCTTGGTTCTCTCCAGGGAGGTCACTTCCTCAGCCCCCAACTTCTCCCATCATTCTCTCCCCTATTTCAGGGCTCAAGAGGATCCACGCCCTGACCACTCAGGCAGCCTACGAGCTACACGTGGACCTAGAAGACTTTGACAATGGCACAGCCTATGCCCACTACGGGAGCTTTGGCGTGGGGCTGTTCTCTGTGGACCCTGAGGAAGATGGATACCCGCTCACCGTGGCTGACTACTCGGGCACGGCAGGTAGGGGTCCAGGCTGCGGTGGTGGTGGAGAAGGGCTGGGGCCACCTTCCCACCTGGAAGGACAAAGGAAGTCTTTCCAGGCCAGGGGCCAGCATCAAGTCTGCTCATCACCACCACCAAGTCCCCAGCTGGTCCTCATCCCAGCCCCATGAAGCTCGCAGGGCCTCTCCCACAGAACCACCCATTTTGCAGATGAGCGAAGAGCCCAGAGCCAGAAATCAGGCAAGACATCTGGAGTTTGAGCTCTGCTGAGCCTCTCCATCGCCTCTGGGCTGGGTTTCTCCTCTCCCGGCCAAGGCAAGAAAACCCTGAAAAGGGTGTGTGACAAGTCTAGGAAGAGGGAGAGGCCGCGGGGACAGCCGCCGGGACCATCAGGAGGGCACTGGGGCTGCCTGTGGGCGCCAAAGGTGTGCGAAGGGGCAGGTGCGCGCGCGCTCACGTGTGTGCATCGTGCACGGGAAGCTGCGTGCACACACCTGTGCCCCACTGAACACACCCCCTGTGTACACCTGCGCAGGGGACTCCCTCCTGAAGCACAGCGGCATGAAGTTCACCACCAAGGACCGCGACAGCGACCACTCAGAGAACAACTGTGCCGCCTTCTACCGCGGCGCCTGGTGGTATCGCAACTGCCACACGTCCAACCTCAACGGGCAGTACCTGCGCGGCGCACACGCCTCCTACGCCGACGGCGTCGAGTGGTCCTCCTGGACTGGCTGGCAGTACTCACTCAAGTTCTCGGAGATGAAGATCCGGCCGGTCCGTGAGGACCGCTAGACCGGCGCGCTCCGGCCCTGCCGCATCCCTGCTGCCCCACCGCCCCGCCCACCGCCACCGCCACCGCCACCGCCACCGCCACGCCCCGCCCTCGCCTCGCCCCGCCCCGCCCCACCCAGCCGTCACCACGGCCCTCGCCCCCGCCCCCGCCCCCGCCCCCAGCCACCACACCCTGCCCCCCTCGCCCCGCCCCGCCCCGCCCCACCCAGCCGTCACCACGCCCCTCGCCCCCGCCCCCGCCCCCGCCCCCAGCCACCACACCCTGCCCCCCTCGCCCCGCCCCGCCCCGCCGTCACCACACCCCTAGCCCCGCCGTCACCACGCCCACCCCAACTCGGCTCCTGCCCAGATGCCCGCCCGCCCGTGCATGACTGACCTGCTCTCGCCATGGGGTGGCCCAGGCCAACCCCGACCCGAAGCACCCCCTGAACGAGTGAGGCCACACAGCACTTTCACACTGTCCCCACCCCCAATTTGCCCCTGCTGATGGGGGCGGGGCAAATCTGACCACCCCGAATTCTGCCTGCCCCGACTTTAGCTCCATGGGCCACGTGTCTGCCTCTGCCTTGGCCAGGAGTCGGCCACGTGCTCCTGGCAGCCCTTCCACTTTGCCAGCGCAAACATCTGGAGTCATGGGCTGTGGAGGAGGGGCAGCTGGCACCCCTGGAGCCCTTTTAGCAGACAGAGGGAAGGGTCAGATATTTTTAGTCGGTCCGAGGCCAGCCTCCTCTGACCCTCTAGACCCCTCCTCAGTTTCTCTGGCGCCTGGAGGTCCCCCTCTCTCCCAAGTACTGGGGAGTGGTGGTACTCAGGGCCGCCTGTGCTCATGGGCTAGGTGGCCACATCCCTTCACGTCCCGAGGCCAGGCTGGGGTGCAGCTGCCTTCAGGAACTCACACCCCGAGGTGGCTGAGATCCGTTCCCTGGAGCCCTCCCCACCCACCCACCCACCCACCCTGATTCCCGATGTCTTTCCAGGCCTGGGAGGCCCCCAGTCCCCTTGGCTGCTCTGCCCATCCTCCTGCCTTCCGGGGGCAGCTGAAGTCTGCCCCCACCCCATCCTCCTGCCTGTGGGACACGCAGGACCCGTGCTGGGCCAGTGAAGACCTCTTGATTTTCAGGGCATTGGCAGGGCTGTGCCACCCCCACCACCAATTTCCAAGCAGGGACTCTGGGATCCTAGGAGGCTGGTCAGAGACAGCTGGACCCAGAGCATTTGGTGGCTGGTACCTGGTCAGCCTGGACAGTGCTGTCTCAGTGGAGAGGCTGCCCCCTGCTGCTGACTGTGGGTGTTGCCACCTTGGGTCAGGGGAAGGGAGGGCGTCACTGGGCAAGTGGGGGAGACTGAAGCTCCTCCCAGGCACTCAGAGACCTTTCTCATCGAATTCTCTCAATGCTCAGTGCAGGGTTCCTGCTCCTCTGTAACAAGAACCACAGGTTCTACAGGCCAGCGGCCAGGAGGGGCAGGGCTGGGACTCTAGCCCGTGACCCCCTGCTCAACCAGCCTTGGGATCCTGGTGTCAGAACCAAGCCCAGGACTGTTTTGCAGAGTTTCCACCTGTCGGGACCTGAGAGGGCCAGGAGGTCAGCCTGGAAAGTGGCCCAGAGGGTGGGCATCCCAGCGACCCCCTCCTCAGGCAGGGGCTGGGAGTGATTCCTAACTAGGACTCCTGAAGGCAGTCGAGTGGGGGAGTGTGGGATCCAGCCCTCCCTTCCCCTCCTGCCAAGGTCTATGCTTCAATAATAGTAAACCGGAGTTGGCCACGGACAGCAGGAAAGGCCCCAAGGGCCTCTGACGTGCCAGGGGAACTGGCGGGTCCCCTCCAGCACCACCTGGTTGTTGGGCATTTGTCAGGCTTTCCGGACAAGACCCAGTTGCTGCTCTCCTGGCCCTCAGCTGGAATCAGAGACAGCTAGGGAATCAGCGATGACAGCCCAGGCAGTAACAGGAGTGCCAGGTGCAGGCAGGGTGGGGAAAGTGTGCTGGAGATGTGTGCAAGAAGACCGCACGGCCCCCCTTCTGGCCCCTTGCCCGTCCTCTAGAAACCAAGAGAGCCAGTCGCCCTGCCCCTGGCTGCTGGGACCCCCTCCCAGCCAAGGAGCAGAGGCCATGTGGAACCCTGCATCCTCATCCTGGGGACCCTCCTCCCCCCTCCAGCTCCAGACCAGAGCTAGCTTCTGCTGCCAGCCTCACGGTGCCAGCCACTGTTTAGAAAGTGCCAAGCGCTTTCTGATCTGTCATCAAACACGCTCCTGGTGAGCGTGATGTTAATGGATTAACAGATGTGCGTGTGCGTCAGAAGGCTCAGGGGCGCTCATGCCACGGCCTGGCCCGGGAGCTGACGAGCCACAGCTTCGGCCTGGTCGGGGGCCGGGCGAGGGTGGCTCTTAGGAGTGTCAGACCCGCCTGGAGACACTGGTTCCTTCCTGCTGGGGATCCCCGGTGCCCCTCTGCAACCCAGGTTTGGCATTGCTGGGGACACGGCCGCACCAGAAGCTGGCCAAACAGGCACACGGCCCGTTGTGGTGAGGACAGCCAGGGCCAGCGCACCCCCCTTCCTAAAGGGCACTCCTTCCCAGGGCCAGGAGGCTGGGGTGCACGAGGCAGGCCTGGCACCCGGCTTGGAGGAGCCCGCAATGTGATTCCAGTGCCCGTGGCTGTCACCAGAGATGGGAGTGACCACAGAAGGAAGGCGGTGCTAGGGGAGCCGGAGGGGTAGCAACAGCACGAGAGACGGAGAGATGACGGATGCGTGTAAGGGCCACCCCAGGACCCACGGTTACTGTGCCCGAACGCTGACCCACCATCACGATGACGGAGTCAATGGCTTAATGGTGGGCTACCTGTGACCCAGCTCTACCACGCTGCCTGATCAACCCCCTCCTGCTGTCCTTCCTTCTCCAATGAGGAAAGAACCAAGCGGGGGCGGGGGGCTCTCTCCACTGGGACCCTCAGGCAGGGCATTTACCCTCCCTGCTTCTGAAAGTCCCTTTCCAAAGGCACAGGTAGGTTCTGTGGGATCAGCCTCAATCCTTGCCACTCAAACTCTGGATCCATCTCTGAGACGCCACCCAGCCAGCCACCCCAGCTCCCGGAGTCCAGAGGGTGGATGGGCCCCGGGTTTCCAGCCTGAAGGCCTCAGCGCGGTCAACAGGAGTTGAGCATGGAGCCGGGGGCTGTTCTCAGGTAGCATGTCCCCCTGCAGCCGCATGTGAATAGGTTTGGTCACATTGGTCTTGGAGCAGAAGTGGCAGCCACACACCCCAGCACCCACTGCCTCCAGGTCCCCCAGGGCCACACACCCTCATCCACGCAGACCTCTGGCCCGGAAGCTGGGAGCCCCACTCACCCAGGGCTAAGAGGATTCGTGAGGTCCGTCGACAGGACCCGCTGGCCACGTGCACTTCAGCAGGAGGGTAGGGAGGTGGGGATGGCATGTGCGCTGCCGTCGGGGGACTGGGGACAGGGCCCTGATGTGGAGTCTGAGGACGGACACGCTCACGGGAGCGGGCAGGGACGTGCAGACAAGGACACGAGGCTTCGGTCCGACGGGCCGGCCGGCGCCTCCCCAGGGCCTGTTTCTTCATCTGTGAGGAGGGAGAGGGCTGCCCCCAAACCCCGAGTGCCCACGCAGCTGCAGGAGTTGGCAGACCCGGGGGGCTGACGGTGGGCCTCGGTGGGGATGGGGCAAGCAGCATACACTGGGCTCTCACCTGGCCACGTCTGCCCGCTGCCGTGCCCACAGGCTGCCTGACGGTCCACACGAGGGACGAGGCCCGGCCCGGGACAGGTGCTCGTGGGGCCCGTGTGCACTTGGCGTCATGTGTGGTCCTGTCTCCAATAAAGTCTCGTGGTGGCCGACTCGGGTCTCTGCCTCCCGCCTGCTCAGTACCCCACAGGGTGGGTCAGACACCCCAGGGTGCCAGGACCACCTCGTGCACACGTCCCAGCGCAGCTGTTTCGACACGGGCAACCCCTGTTCCCCAGACAGCTCTGTACCCCCAGGAACCGCACGGGGTCCCGGGCAGAGCCGGCCCCACGCCTGGCCAGCACCCTGGGCGTCAGGGTCGGGGATGTGAGGCCTTCCGCCCTCAAGAGCGCACCTCCCGGGGCTGAGCCTGAGCCCTTGTTTCCCATCACAGTCCCCAGGGTCCCATTTCTTTACCACTTCACTGGTGGCTCAGCTGGGAAAGAGTCCGCCCGCAATGCAAGAGACCTGGGTTCGGTCCCTGGGTTGGGAAGATCCCCTGGAGAAGGGAATGGCTCCCCACTCCAGTATTCTGGCCTGGAGAATTCCACAGACTGTGTGGTCCATGGGGTCTGAAAGAGTCAGACACGACTGAGCGATTTTCACTTTCCCTTCCACTTTCCCTGGTGGCTCAGCTGGTGAAGAATCCGCCTACAGTGCAGGAGACCAAGGTTCGATCCCTGGGTCGAGAAGATCCTCTGGCAAAGAAAATGGCAATCCACTCCAGTATTCTTGCCTGGAGAATTCCATGGGCAGAAGAGTCTGATGGGCTACAGTTCATGGGGTTGCAAAGATGTGACTGGGCGGCTAACATAACACTTCTTTACCACCGAGCCACCTGGGAAGCCCCATTCAAAAAATCAGTCCCTAATGACTGTTTATTCATAAAACAAATTTGAAACACATGGCAGTCTTCCGAGTTGCTGTAATGAAATCCAGTGTTTATCAAGCGCCTGCGTTGGGGACCTGGTGGGGGCCAGGGGAAGTGAATGTGCCCAGTGTCCTGCCTCGGGCTGGCCTGCGAGGGGACCCCCGCTCCTCCACCACCCAACCCAACTCCTCTGGCCCGGCACACAGCACCATTCCGAGGTCCGGTGACAGGCACACGGAGGCTCTCCGAGTTGACGAGCGGTGTTGGCATTTTAGTCACAAATAGTGAGCTTCCTTGGTGGCTCAGTTGGTAAGGAATCTGTCTGCAATGCAGGAGACCCAGGTTTGATCCCTGGGTAAGGAAGATCCCCTGCAGGAGGAAATGGCAACCTACTCCAGTATTCCAGCCTGGAGAATTTCATGGACAGAGGAGCCTGGTCGGCTACAGTTCATAAAGTCTCTAAGAGTCAGACATGACTGAGTGACTAAACCTACCCAGGGGAGAATCCACATGGTAAGAGAGTCCCCAGGGCAGGAAGGGTTCAGCTGGCATGCCCGGGAGCTCTGAGCGGGATGTGCCGACCTGGGAGGCCCATGCTTGTGAAGAGGGCACCGTCCGGGCTCCACTAGATGCCAGCAGCCACCACCCCGGCCCCATCGGCCTTGTCCCCTGTGGTTCACCCTCCCCTCCCCATGGTGTGGGCTCTGCTGGGGGAGGAGTTGGAGGTTCAGACAGTGATGAGACTTGCCCCAGGCCACAGCTGGCTCGTGGCTGAGCAGGGAGGAGCCCAGCCCTAGGGGCTCACATGAGGCTGAAGGGTGGTGGAGTGGGGGAGGCGTCTGAGATCCGAGTCAGGGGCCTGGGCTCAGCACAGCCAGGCTGTGTCGCCCTGGAGGTTCCTGGCAGGTTCTGCCAGGGCAAAGGCCACCGGTCAGCTTGGACATCCCAGGACACAGCCCCCCACTCTGCAGGGGCGGCTTCCCAGGGAGCCTGGTGGCCCCCGGACCCCCTCCCC